TAAACTTCTCATGAATACCTCATTAACAATAATACCGAACGAACATCAAACCCTTCAATCAACACATTTCTTAAGCGTATATCACAATACACCCACCTAACTAAAACGTATTGTCACCTTAACACGCAACCCTTGAATGACTTTCTATCTTCCCGTGCAATTGAACAATGCGAAATTAATTATCGGTTAATCATTGCGTATTCAACGAAATTAATTCTCTCATTAACGTTTCATTAAGTGGCCCAATAGTTGATACTTGTAATTTAAACATTTAATTAACATAACTCTGAGTATGTGATAAGCTACAGAATCAATCACATAACCACTGAGGAAACGAATGAACATCGTTATTATAATAAGATGAACTTTTGCTCATTGTCACACACTTCACATCAACTCGTCTAACTTCTAATTAGACAAACGTCCGCTACCCTATACCGTCATCTGTTCTTAATTTTGTTATTCCTACTACAAATTAAACTTTCAACAATTTTCGCTTGAATGTACGCCGGCAAAGTCGCCGGAATGAACTGCCACGACGTCTCAACAGATATCCTATCGATAAGATCGTACGAGAATAATCAAAATCGCATCAGCTTGTCAACAAACAAAACAATTCGAACCTTCACTGGTGCTCGGTAACGATGCGGTGGTCAGTGATAAATTCAGGCATGGACTTAAGGCATGCAGTTCTTTAGGTGGCGAGTTCGAGCGCGATTTTGCCTCATTCGACAGTTTCATCGCATTCTCGTCATCAGTCTGCACCAAAAACATAGCCATAATTATCGAACGATTATCATCTCAAACGTTATCAAAACATGGATGAATGCTAAACGATTGCCCTCATCACCACTGCACACCTCCCCATTCAAGCAATTAACAAATGACTAACTTTCACGCAACATTCTGCAATACCACCTTCTAAATTTGTCAACGTTCCATTATTGCTATTTGATGACGCTGAAAATTTGACTACTATCATCTGATAATGGACAGTTCGCATAACTGATAACGCCGATTATTGATAAATGATCATTACAAAAACAATAAATGAAATTTTCATCACAAATAAAATGAAATTAAACGAAAATACATTTAATCATTATTCATCCGTGTTGATTCAAAAAAGAAAAAAGTCACAATGATTTATAAAACTCGTCAGCAAATGCATAATAATCAATCAGCTATACTTCTCAACGATTACCTGTGAATCAACCGAACAATTTATTCAAGGTCATCATCCACAACACAACAAAATCTAATTAATATTCCGCAGTTAACGTCTTCAAAATTTGACAAAAACAATAAATGAATATTCTGAAAGAAATTTCAAAAAATCGCTCAGATCGATTCATAATTACATCATAAAACTGCACTCCGACAATTCAATTTCCACTCTCTACAGTTCATCCGGACATATCAAAAGGGNAAAGATTCCTTCGAAATATGTAGCGCAACGAATGCATAGAGAAATGTGCTGCAACGAGCATCGATTAGGGAATACGGCAGAAATACGGAGCAGATGACGAATTGACCAAAAAGCGATAGGTTCGTGAGTGAACGACTTTTATCAGCTCGTAAACGCTCGATTCAAGAGTGAGGCGAGAAGGCGGCAGCTATCGTTATGGTTTAGACTGATAATGAGGACTCGATCCCGCTGAGGTTGATGCAAACTCATCATCACAGGTTCACTCGCCTTAATCGGATGGACACAGCGATCGCGCATAGGGACAAGGCGTAGAAAGTGGTTATCAAATATTTATTAAAAATACTTATTGAAAATGGTTCATTCCAACAATCAGTACACGACTTCAACTTTGATAGAGAGTACACAAAAAATATTTTGAAAATAGAGAATTCGTTCGAAGAAAATATTGCCAATGAAACGATACTAATGAATTTTCATTACTCATTAATCGATAAACAAATTAATGTCGAATAAAACAAAGACATTCATGACAGAATAAAATTAGCAAAATTGCTTTGGAATTTAAATTCATTCCACCCAAAAACCCAATTGCACATTTGGAGAACATTTCGAAGAAGGATATGAGCAATTGAGATAAGCAAATATAGACATTATTGGATGATAATACTGAACGCTCGTTTATTTGACTACAAACAAATTCATTTCGAGCGAATAAAAAGCTGCGCGAGCGTTAACCATCATTCACGATGAAACATCATAAAGGAATTTTAGACGAAATCTAAAAGTTTTGCTCACACTAAGAAAGAACCATAGTTCCCTTTGAAAGGTAGCATAATTCAAATCGCATGAAAAAGTACGGGAAAAAGAGAGACACAGATATAGAAATCTAACACACAGAAACTAAAATAG